TTTTGGGGGGGGGGGGGGCTTTTTGGGATCGAGTCTCCCTGATTTGCCGAGGCAGAAGAAGGCCTTCGACTCCTCAAAGACTTGCCGCCAAGCACAACCATGTTGCCAGAGTTTCTATATGACTTATAGAGTTCTAGAACCCTAAGCCCTTAGCCCTAAGCCCTAAGCCCCTTGGGCGGGCTTGCTTGGAGAAAGGGAGTCATTGCATTTCAAAAAACAACAGCCCTTTGGGTCTCAAGCCTGCCCTTCAGGGCTGTGGGATGTTTAAGGGGTTGGGTGCACCTGTGCCGGCCCCCCTCCGCCCCCTCCCCCAATTTGGGGTTCAGCCCGGTAGCTGGGGGGGACTTAAAGGGGCTCACAACCGGTTGCGGGGGTGCCTTGAGCAACAGATGGGACTGCTTAGGGCTTAGGGTTTAGGGTTTAGGGTTCCGGGTTCAGGGTTCAGGGTTTAGGGTTCAAGGTTTAGGGTGGCAGCAAGCTGGCGAAGGTATAGACACCATCATGGCGGCGCAGGCCTCCCAACGCGCAGAAAGGATCTTTTGATGTGGCCCCTGCCCTTCGCTACTATTTGCCTAGGAACCCTCCGAACCATATACAACAATAGTGCGTATCTTTTATTTGTTGTTTTTTTTGTGGAGGGGTTCTTAAGCACATAGTAGTTTGTATCGTCCCCCTAAGCCCTAAGCCCCAAGCCCTGAACCCTAGAAACCGTGCCAGTCTCCAAACCCTAAAGCCTCCTCCCAGGCAGCGCTCCAGCAACTGCCGGGGGCTCGACAAGTTGTATGGGGGGGTTTAGGATTTAGGGTTTGGCAGGTACTTTTTCCTATCGCCGATATAGCACTGGATAGACCCCAAGCTACCCGTCCCGGATGAACAGGCAAAGGGCCCCTACATATTCCAACTTCGCCCGCGATCCCTGGCATCTTCCGATCCCTGCGTAAGGCCCGCGACTTTGCCGGCTGGATCTTTGGCTCCCGGAGCTCCGACGACGCTGCCTCCTGGAGCTCTGGCTCTCCCTGGATCGCTGCCGGCGCTGTCGGGCGCACCATCCTTGGGGCCGTGCGTGACCCTGCCCGTTGCGCCTGTGCCTGTGGGGCCATCAGCTGGACTGCCACCTGTCGGACCGCCACCTGCCGGACCGCCACCTGCCGGACCGCCACCTGCCGGACCCTCTGCTGGACCACCTGCAGGACCACCTGGCGGACCGCCACCTGGACCGCCACCTGCTGCACCACCGCCTGCCGGACCACCTGCCGGGCCACCTGCTGGACCACCTGCTGGACCCTCTGCTGGACCACCTGCTGGATGCGCTGGCTCGGCTGGACCTGGAGCTGTTGGACCTGCTGGGCCACCGCCTGCCTCATCAGCCTGTGCCATGCCCGCTGCTTTGTCGCCGGCCTTGTCGCAATCGGCATCAGGCCCTGGAGTCCAGAGCACTTGCAGTAATTACAAATCATTGGTTTAGAATCACCCAGCATCCCTAAATGTCCCTAAGCACACATCCCTAAGCCCTTAAAACCCTCCCCCTGCAGGCCAACCGGATGCCACGGAGTCCGAGTCCTTGAAAAGCTTTGAACTGCCACCAGGGCTGCCCAGGTGGGGCAGGGGGTGTTCTCAGGGTCCTCCGGATTGGCTAGGGAGGTTAGGCTTGGGGGGCAGGTGGCTTCAAGTACTTACTGAGTAAGGGAGCAGGAATTTCGGAGCAAACCAGCGGTCGAGCACCTAGTCTTGGCTCGTGGTTCCCGGGCTGGACGAAGCTCGTGCTTGCGAGCATCGCTCACAAGAAAAGTGGGGTACTTCCCATCGCGCCACGCATCTTTCTCCTGGTTCTTCTGCTCGTCTTTGAGATCTGGCCGCATGGTTGAAGAGGGCGCAGCGTCTGTGGCCCAGGAGCTGAAACCCTTCAATGGACTCTCACTAGGCTACACTCCAGGGTGGTGGGTTCCCTTGACTTCCTTGTTCTGAGTAGGGAATAAGGGGATGAGGTACTGTGAAAGACCCCTTTAAGGTTACATATGGGGCTGCAGCATCCCAAGAACTGTAAACCGTCCCTCAGCCCTAAACCGTGATCCTGCCACCTAGAAAACCCTCAGCCCCTCTTTCACTTTAACCTGACTAATGACCCATGTCGTCAGGCAATTTTTGGCCCAAGTCGCCCGTCCCCGTGTAGTCAGGCAATGTTTGTGGCCCAAGTCGCCAAACAAATTTGCCCAATCCACAAGTCGTCAGGCCATTATTTCGCCCAAGTCGTCAGCAAAATTTTGGGCCCCCCGAACCCGGTCAAGCAGGTCTAGGGTTCAAGGCTGGTTCATGGCCTAGGATTTAGGGTTCAAGGGTCCAGGGTGTAGGGTGCAGGCCTTGGACTTGAGATGCTGAACCCTAAACCCTTAACCCTAGGCCCTACACCCTAAGCCCTTTCGTAGGAGAGCCCTCCGCAGCGGAGTCCCGAGTAAACCCCAAAACTCTGAACCTCAAACGCACTCATCGAAGTCGCTGGTTGCCCATGGCCTGAACCCTTCCCAAACCACCCAGCACCCCTTAGTTGAGGTGTAGGGTTCGGGGTTTTGGGGTTTTGGGTTTAGGCTTCAGGGACTGAACCTTACAAACTCTACGAGGGATTCCTTCATTGGTACCCCGAACCCTAAACCCTATAGTAGCACAATCGCAGGCTATTCCCTAGACCCTAAACCCCTAAACCCCTAAACCCCTAAACCCCTAAACCCCCCTAAACCCCTAACCCCTAAACCCCTAAACCCCTAAACCCCTAAACCCCTAAACCCCTAAACCCCTAACCCCTAACCCCCTAAACCCCTAAACCCCTAAACCCCTAAACCCCTAAACCCCTAAACCCCTACACCCCTACACCCCTAACCCCTAAACCCCTAAACCCCTAAACCCCTAAACCCCTAAACCCCTAAACCCCTAAACCCCTAAACCCCTAAACCCCTAAACCCCTAAACCCCTAAACCCCTAAACCCCTAAACCCCTAAACCCCCGAACCCCTAAAACCCCTAAACCCCTAAACCCCCTAAGCCCTAATCGGAGTCTTGATCTATGCCTTGTGCATCCTGGGAACCGTACCCTGACCCTTGTTATGACCGAGAGCCCTTCCTGGTGTTCTGTCCTCTCCTCCTTGCGTGTTCCTTGCTGTTGGTTTAGGGTTTAGGGTTCATAGGGTTCACAGGGTTTATAGGGTTGGGTTTATGGGGGTTTATAGGGTTTTATCGGGTTTATAAGGTCTATAGGGCTTACAGGGTCTTATAGGGTTTATAGGGTTGATAGGGTTTGGAGTTCATCCCTCCACTTTTGTCCTCTGGCTCCCTCGAGGGAGCCAGTGTTCTCGACGCCTTGAACCGTTCAGACCCTTACCCTGTCCGCCCCTTGCTGAACCGCAAAGCCCCAGGAAACGAACTTTTGGAGGGCTTGGGGTTTAGGGTTTAAGGTTTAGGGTGTAGGGTTTAGGGCTTTATCTCACATTTGCGGACCGTACTTGGGTACCCAAAAAGTAAGGCCCCGTATAGAAACCGGAACTGCGAGTGGGGCTCACCTAAGCCCTGGAACCCTGAAACCCTGAAACCCTGCAACCCTAAACCCTAAACCCGTACAATTCCGAGAGCTGTGTTCTGTTTCCCGCAGGCCGCAGGACCAACAATCCAGCATCCTAGCTGCACCTCCCCGAATCCCACGACCCAAAGGTTTGGGTCTTTTCGGTTTCTGGTTTTGGGGGGCTAAGAGCCACAAGCCAAAAGGATCCCGAAACCCCAAACCCGCAAAGGTTTGGGGTTCGTAGGGCTTTTGTAGGGTTCTTGTAGGGCGTCTATAGACCCTCAGCCCTAATCCCTAAACTGTGGTGGGACGAAGTGGTTTTGGGATTTACTTTGTTCGGTGTGGTTCTCTGCGCTGGCATTGCGCTTACTGTCCCTGCGAGTCAGGACGTTGCAACATGTGTCGCTGTCCGAAGCTCTAAGCGCCTGACCCCTCAACCTCAAACCCAGAATGAACGTTTAATTGGCCCAAAACCCTAAACCCTAAACCCTAAACCCTAAACCCTAAACCCGAAGCCCTAAACCCTAAACCCTAAACCCTAAACCCTAAACCCTAAACCCTAAACCCTAAACCCTAAACCCTAAACCCTAAACCCTAAACCCTAAACCCTAAACCGTAGACCCTAAACCCTAAACCCTAGACCACCGCCCTGGCTCGTCCTAGGCGCCGAAAGGGACTTGGAGGTGGGGAGTGTGGAAGCTTCTTCTAGCCTGGGAGTCCCGATTTACAAGTTGCGGGGGTTTTGGGGTTTAGGGTTTAGGGTTTAGGGTTTAGGGTTTAGGGTTTAGGGTTAGCCATAAACTCGCTATCCCGGCATCGCAGCCGTCCTCGCCCTGAACTGGTGGGCGGGTTAGGGATCCTAAACCCAAAGTAGACCCCAAACCCCAAGTCCTAAACCCCAAAAACCCTAAACCCTAAACCCAAACCCTACACCCCAAACCCTAAATCCTAAACCCCAAACCCTAAACCCCAAACCCTAAACCCCAAACCCCAAACCCTAAACCCCAAACCCTAAACCCCAAACCCTAAACCCCAAACCCCAAACCCCCAACCCCAAACCCCTAAACCCCAAACCCCAAACCCTAAACCCCAAAACCCCAAACCCCAAACCCCAAACCCTAAACCCTAAACCCGAAACCCCAAACCCTAAACCCCAAACTCCAAACCCTAAACCCCAAACCCTAAACCCTAAGCCCCAAACCCTAAACCCCAAACCTTAGACCCTTGCATCAGGTGCGCCGAAGCAAGGGGCAGAAGATGCCCCGACCAGATCTCGAGGCGGGATGGTGACCTTGGGATGATGTTCAGGGTTTAGGGTTTAGGGGTTTAAGGGTTTCAGGGGTTTAGGGGTTTAGGGGTTTAGGGTTTAGGGTTTAAGGGTTTAGGGTTCTGGATTTAGGGGCTTGGGGTTTAGGAGAACATTTTTTTACATTTTGGAGTTGAGTTTTCAGGGTTCAGGGTCTGGGGTCTAGAGCTCAGGGCTCAGGATTTCTAGAGCTTAGGGTTCAGGGTTTAGGGTTTAGGGTTTAGGGTTTCTTGGTTAATGGGTTGCGGGCTTCGGGCTTTTGGTGGTGTAGGGTCTAAACCCTAAAACCTAAACTCTAAACCCCAAGGCCTCCAAACCCTAAACGAGAGGGCCCCCCCCCCCCCCCCCTTGTGTTCAAAGAAAGCCCCGCCAGGCTGCCAAACCACGTCCGGCAGACGGAGCTTGAGTTCCTTGGGGACAAGATGAGCCCCCAAGGTTTTAGGGTTTAGGGTTTCGGGTTTAGGGTTTGGGGTTCCGGGTTTAGGGTTTCGGGTTCCGGGTTTAGGCCCATGTGGCTCCGTCGGGATTGGACTAGTGCAAGGGTTTAGGGTGTCGGGTTTATAGGTCCTGGGAAGTAGAGTAGTGCTAGGGTATAGGATCCCCGGTATGGGGTTCATGCGGGCTGCCAAGGTTGGTATTCCGCCTGAGTGCTGGAGAAGCTGGGGAGGCGGGTCGTGAGGACGCCTCAGCTTGAGTTTCACAGGTCACGTCTCACCCTGTATGCCTCGATTTCTGCGCACCGGTTCGCAACACCAGTTTTGGGCTCCATGTTGGCATGTATCAGAGCCTGGGCACATCCTGCTAACAGCTGCGGCGATCAGCCGAGCAGGATGGAATTCGCGAGGGCCGCCCTCGCCCTACTAGTTGCTCCTTTAGAAATACTTCTTCCATTAGAGCTCCATCCCTAAACCCTAAACCCTAAAATCATGAGAATATTTGCTCTTGCGGGAGTTGACTAGTAGGGGGAGGTGCAGCACCACTCAGTTTGGTTGATGCAACGTGTGGGGGCAGAAGAGTGCCCCCCGCTCTCACCACGGGCCGCATCACAGAGTGGCACGCAGTGTGCGGACAGCCGGCGATGAAGCAGAACATGGTGTGTGTGTGTGTGTGCGTTTTAGGGTTTAGGGTTTAGGTTAGGGTTTAGGGTTTGGGGCTTAGGGTTGAGGGTTTAGGGTTTAGGGTTTAGGGCTCATCTGTATCTACAACCCGCTACGGGAGGACCCGTGTCGCAGGCGTGCTTGCGTCCATGTCTACCTTCGCCAGGCCCACTGCGACCACTGCAAACCAGCCTCCATCTGCTAGCAGAGTGCGGAGGCAGCTTTCTTTCCCTAAGCCAAAAACACGGGCTTTTGAGCCTACTGAGTCGGCTGCAGTTGTTCGGACACAGCTCAGGGCAGGCAGAAACCCTAAACCCTAAACCCTAAACCCTAAACCCTAAACCCTAAACCCTAAGGCCCTAAACCCTAAACCCTAAACCCTAAACCCTAAACCCTAAACCCTAAACCCTAAACCCTAAACCCTAAACCCTAAACCCTAAACCCTAAACCCTAAACCCTAAACCCTAAACCCTAAGCCCGTTCTTCATTGAGCGTAGCCAGAGAGCGATCTGAAAAGGCAGATTATGTCCTTCATTGCGATCATGGCCTACGTGATGTCTGGCCTGACCATTGTCGTTGTGAACAAGTGCCTGCTCCTTACTGGCTATTGTCAAGGAAACAACCCTAAACTCTAAACCCTACACCCTAAACCCTAAACCCTAAACCTTAAACCCTAAACCTAAGCCCTAAACCCTAAACCCTAATCTCAGCATCGCTCCAAGTTGCGACGATGCTTTTAACCCTCTGGAGGGGGGAAGTTCTGAGGAGCCGTGGCAGACCATGCATGCGAACCTGGATGATTCTAAACCCCAAACTCTACTAAACCTTAAGCCCTACTATAGGGGTCGGAATAGTTACCAATAGTATTCCCTTATGGATCTTATGGTCCCTATATGATTATACTATACTAAGCTCCCAAAACCCTATTCGAATTATTCAGGCCCCTATACCCTAAACCCTAAGCCCTAAGCCCCCTAAACCCTAAACCTAAACCCTAAACCCTGCTCGAGGCATAGTGCGAGACAGCGGCTTGCACGCGCCTGCTCTGGTTTCGCTCGGACCTCAAGACTCAAGACCCTCACCACGCTCTATGCAGCATGGGGCTTTGTAAGTTTGAGGGGTTTAGGGCTTAGGGTCCTGGGTTTAGTGTTCAGGGCTCAGAAAGTCCGGGGGTTATGGTTTGGGGTAAGGCTTACAAGGAGTTAACCTGTGAAAGCTACTTGCCGATAGTATACGCCAGTTGCGAAAAACTCTCCAGAGAGAAAGCTCCCATGTTGTGCGAAGCTCCCTCATGATCTGCTGGTCGCAGATCCGACTTGCCATGCAATGCCTGCTGAAACATGCGGAGAATACAAACGGACTGTATGCAAGTAGTATGTAAGGAATACCGGAATACCTCATATGTGATTGAGAGTGACTGAACATTTCAGACCCCCGCAGACAGAGTGTCACACACTGCCAGAATTCGGGCCTCCACAAGAGGCGGCTCAACAAAGTCAGGCAGGTGTGTGGGTTTAGGGTTTATTTAGGGTTTAGGGTTTAGGGTTTAGGGTTAGGGTTCAGGGTTTAGGGTTTAGGATTTAGGGTTTAGGGTTTAGGGCCCTAAAGTTCCCTCACAAGAAAGGCAGCCGTGCGCAGGCAGCCCCCTGCTTTCAGCCGAGTAAGCAAGATGCCCCAAAAGCTGAACCCCAAGCCCCAACACCGAAGCCGCATACAGCCCCCACACCATGAAACCCGAGACTGATAGGGGTTTAGGGTTTAGGGTTTATGGCTTAGGGTTTAGGGTTTAGGGTTTAGGACCCTCAAGTGGCCTTCAAGTCCCTAGGAAGCCGTAGATCCAGGTCCATGGGCGCGCTGTTCACGGCTGCCTTCACTCGCTTCATGGTGTTCATTGGGCAGGCGCCGGGATGAACCCTAAACCCTAAACCCTAAACCCTAAACCCTAAACCCTAAACCCTAAACCCTAAACCCTAAACCCTAAACCCTAAACCCTACACCCTAAACCCTAAACCCTAAACCCTAAACCCTAAACCCTAAACCCTAAACCCTAAACCCTAAACCCACCCATCAAAGAAAGAGTCCTCAACCGCAAGAAGAACCCGACAGACCCCAAGCCCTAAACCTTAGTAATGAACAAAGCCCCGCAGGATCAACTTTCCAGATCCTTCCAGACCCCTGTCGGGGAGCGTAAATGGGACCCATAGGCCCCCAAAAGCAGCAGGGAATCAGGTCTTTGGCCCCCCTTGCGATATTGCAGATCTAAGCGGGGCCAGGGGGAAGAGTTTTTGCGGCGATGGGAAGCACTAAACCCTAAACACTAAGCTTGGGATGTACCAACAGTCCTTAATAGGGATTATCGTAGGGGGTACTATAGTCCCTACTAAGGACTGTTAGTAAAGGGGGGAACATCCCAACCCTCGACTCTGTCTCCAGGTGCAAGTGAGGGATATTGATTTGACACCGCCGGGTCCTTGCTCTCTCGTGGCACATGGGCAGAGTTGGGTTTAGGGGTTCGGGTTTAGGTTTATGTCTCGGGTTTAGGGTTTAGAGTCTAGGGTTTAGGGTTCAGGGGTGTGGAGTTTCAGGGTTCAGGGCCCAAGGATCTAGCGTGAGGGGATGAGTTTCGGGCTTTGGGAAGTGCCGCCGGCAACACGGCCAAAGGAGGACGTGGCCGGAAGTGATGCAGTTGGGATGCAGCCAACCCGGGATCAAGAACCCGACGCCCAGTCTATAAAGACAGCCCCCCTTCAGGAAATAACTGTGTGCTAGAATATGTAGCCAGAAACCCCGGATCTGCCTCCAATATTCAGCAGAACATGATGGCCAGCCCCGATGAGGTTGGAATTCGCCATTTGGCGGGCTTTTCCAGTGGGCGCAATGACGGCTGGCAGCCTTGTGTGCGCCCTCGCATGTGATGATCGCCTTGAAAGTTTAGGGGGTAAGGTTTAGAATGTCGGGCTACCGTGGCAACCGTAAACCCTAAACCGTAAACCCTGAACCCTAAACCCTAAACCAAAAACCCTAAACCCTAAACCTTAAACCTAAACCCGAAACCCTAAACCCTCAACCCTAAACCACCTCAAGCCATCCAAGCTCGGAAGGGCGCCATGACTGCCGAAACGAAACATGAAACAGAGCCCCTACTCCCGACTCAGAACCCGCAAACCTCCCTGGTTAGGGTTTAGGGTTGAGGTTTTAGGGTTTAGGGTTTAGGGAGGGTAAAGTTGGGTAATTAAGCCCTAAGCCCGAAGCCCAAAACCCTACAAAGCCCGGAACCCGATAAGCAGAACCCTACAAACCCGAGGCAAAATGCCCGTAACCCCTCTATAAAGCAGTCCCCCAAGAAGACCTCGTTAAAACCCCCTCAATGCCCATGAACCCTAAACCCTAAACTCTAAACCCTAAACCCTAAACCCTAAACCCCAAACTCTAAACCCTAAACCCTAAACCCTAAACCCTATGATCCCAAGCTCCGGCGCGCCAGTTTTGGCAACATGTCCTACATCTACCTGGACGCCGGTTTTATTCAAATGCTGAAGGCTGGGATGCCCAGGGGTTTAGGGGTTTAGGGGCTTAGGGTTCAGGGTTTAGGGGTTTAGGGGTTTAGGGGTTTAGGGTTTAGGGTTTAGGGTTTAGGGTTAGGGTTTAGGGTTTAGGGTTTAGGGTTTAGGTTTTAGGGCTTAGGGTTTAGGGTTTAGGGTTTAGGGTTTAGGGTTTAGGGTTTAGGGTTTAGGGTTTAGGGTTTAGGGTTTAGGGTTTAGGGTGTAGGCAACACCCTTCTAGGAATTGTTGGGGGGTTTCGGGCTTAGGGATGGATGGATGATTCATGACTCAGAATCGGTGTTTTGAGAACTCTTTTTTTGTTGGGTTGTGGGGGAGGATTCACTCTTGGTGGTGTTGGGGGTTTGGGCTTAGGGCTTAAAGTGGCAGGCTGGGACGCCAGCGCTCCTTATGTTCGTTCTCTACATCTGCAAGATCGAGGCGGGGTGGTGGGAGGGCCTTGGCGCCCGTTCAGGGTTTCGGGGTTGGGGTGTTGGGATGACTAACAGTCCTGAATAGGGATTATAGTACCCCCCTACTACAATCTCTATTAAGGACTGCTAGTACAAGGGGGAACATCCCAAACTAAAACCCCAAAACCCTTTGACTGATGCCCCGGCGCGAAGCCTTGAAGCCCAGAAGTCCCACACGAAGTCCCACACCCTAACCCCGTAGATTCATGCGAGCTGGAATTCTAAGTACCTTGAACTTAAAACCCTAATCCCTGAACCTAAACCCTGGACCCGAAGCTCTCTAAACCCCCAAACCCCAAACCCCTAAACCTAAACCCTAAACCCTAAACCCTAAACCCTAAACCCTAAACCCTAAACCCTAAACCCTAATTCTGACATTCTTGTCGCCCTTTCCAGACCATCTCGCCGTTGAGTGGTTGCCTGGCGATGTCCATGGTGGGTGGCCTCCTTAGGCTCAGAGCTGGCAGGGCATAGGGTTAGGGTTTCGGGTTTCGGGTTTAGGGTTTGGGGTTTAGGAGGGTTTGGGGGTTAGGAGGGTTTTGGGTTTAGGGTTTAGGGTTTAGGGTTTACGGTTTAGGGGCCCTTGGGCTGTAGGATTTTGCAGCTTCGTGCGGCTTTGGGGCTTGGGGGTTTAGAGAGGTCTTTTTTCCCAGCTTTGCAGTTGGCCTTTACGGTTTCTGGGTGCTGGGGGGCTTTGGGGGCTGGGGGGTCCACTTAACCCTAAAACCTAAACCTTAAGCCCTAAACCCTAAACCCTAAACCCTAAACCCTAAACCCTAAACCCTAAACCCTAAACCCTGAACCCTGAACCCTGAACCCTGAACCCTGAACCCTGAACCCTGAACCCTGAACCCTAACACTCTACACCCTAAGTCAACGCTTGAAGCCACAATCCCCTTCCCAACAGGCCCCAGAAGTTCGAAGCCACAAATCCCCACCCCGTTATACCCTGAAGCCTAAACCCCAAAACCGTAATCTGGGTTTAGGGTTTAGGGTTTAGGGTTCAGGGTTCAGGGTTTAGGGTTTAGGGTTTAGGGTTTCTTAACCCGAAGCCCTAAGCTCGAAACCCGAAGCCCTAAACATCAGGAAAGCAACATCTGCCTAACCCTTAAGGTGGCAGCCTGCTCGCCTGTCTGCAGCAGCCCAACATCAACATGCTAGGCGGGGTCTCAAAATGGGTAGCTTAGGGTTTAGGGTTTAGGGTTTAGGGTTCAGGGCTTAGGGTTTCGGGAAGCTGCTTCAAGGGATTTTAAGGTGTTTCAGGGCGTTTATAGGGTTTGTTCAGGGTTTGTAGGGCGTTCAGGGGGCATTTAGGATTTGTCGGGTTTTGGGTTGTGTTTTAGGGTTGCTGGGTTTCGGATAGGACCCTGGGATATAGCCCCACAACATCCTTTCAGGGGGTTCCTATAACATGGATTGTCGTATATAGGCTTCGGGGTTTTGTCTGTTTGCGCGTTTAGGACTTTGCTTTTGTTGTTTTCTTAGGAAATCCCAAGGCCCTAATCCCTCAGAGTTTACTTCTTGAGGTTTCAGGGCTTTATAGGAGGTTTCCCGAACCTTGGGGGACGACTCCAGATCTGTGATTTTTTGTTTCAAGTTTTTGCTCAGAGGGAAATTGTAGATATTGTAGCCGGCTGTGGTAGGCTTTTCGGGCTCAGGCTCAGATGTATACACATGTATATATATACACACATATATGTATGTGTGATTTGGCTCGGCATGCGCCTATTTAGTTGCTTAAGATTGCCGGTGTGTGTGTGTGTGTATATATATATATTTCTGACTATTATATATACGCATAACATATGCATATATATATATATACACATGTAGATTATATTATATATATATGTAAATTGCACAGTGTGGCAAATGTGTGTATATACTATATGTCTACTCAAAAGGTGTATACTATTTGTGTGTGCCTGCTTGAGCAGGCATGTTCATCCAGTTGGTTTCCCAAGTCTGCGAAGCCTGAGCCTCGAACACTCGGGCTGCGACCGCCAGTTTTGGGTATTTAGTTTGGAGTTTAGGGCTTAGGGCTTGGGGTTTGGGGTTTGGGGTTTAGGGTTTAGGGTTTGGGGTTTTGGGGTTTTGGGGTTTTGGGGTTTTGGTGTTTAGGGATGGCAATTCCTCAGCCCTGAACTCTAAGCCCTACACCACCCCATGCCCCTCATGTGAGCCCTTTGAGCGCTCCGTGGTGGGAACCCCATCACTCCGAACGTCAGGGATGAGATGCAGGAAGAAAGGACTGGGCTTCCAAAAGGTGCAGAAGCCTTGAAGTTTAGGGGTTTAGGGTTTAGGGTTACTGTCATGGACAAGTTTCCGTCCAAAGAGCACGACAAGTTTGTGCAAGTCTCAGTAGAACTAGGCAACCTGCCAGGGCTAGCTGGATACATGTAGGGCCATGTGTACCTCAATCCGGGTTAAGATTATAGGTCATGGCCGGAGGTACCCTACTTATAAGCTCACTTATTTTCCTAGCCACGAACCTTCAAGCAGCAAAAACCCGAAAGCCGCATAAACCCTCAGTCCCGAATGCTGAGGTCGTGCAATGCACCGCCGTGCAGATCTTCCTGCAGAAGCGTGGATTCGAGGTTCGCGGGGGGTTCAGGGTTGAGGGCGAAGTTCTTCTAGGGCATAGGGTTTGGGGTTTACGGGTTTGGGCGTGGTTCATCTTGAAAGGATTGCAGTTTGTTTTGGTTTTCCTTCAAGAGGGGTGGTTTTGGGCTCGGGTTTTCGTTGTTTTCGTCAGGTTCAAGAGGTAACCTTAAACCCAGCGCACGCAACGCTCTTACATAAAACCACTAGACCCTTACATTTCTGGAAACAAAACAAAAGGACACGGCTCCAGCTCACCAATTCTACTGTTTCCTAGTAAGGACTCTGAGAATCAGGTTCTGTGTATCATCCCTGACAAAGTTAATGTGGGGAAATAACAGGTGCCTAAACCCTACACCCTAAACGCTATACCTCATTCCCTATCAGGAACGAACCCTCGACTCCCAACCCTAACCCGAAGACCCCGGAGGCCCCCTTAACTTGTGCACCTGCAAGTGAGTCCCTGACACGGATTAGGGTTCAGAGAATCTCTTTTCTGTTTTGTTTAAGTTGCAATGGGTTGCATGAGGTAGACGACAAGAGCTATGCAGCCCCCCCCCCCCCTTCCCCCCCCCTCACTCTCTCTCCCTCTCTTGCTCTCTCTCCCTCTCTTGCTCTCTCTCTCTCTCTCTCTCTGTCTCCACGTCTCGCGTTTGATTTCCTATCAGTACTTGATCCATTTGTTAAGCCCTTTTCCCTCCAATCCCTGGAAGCCCTATAAACCGCACAAGCCTCACAGAATCCACATTCCCCACAACCCGAACAAACCCTGCAAACCCCTATATCCGCGGTAAACTAGAAAGCCCGATAACAAAACGCATACTAAGCCTCATTCCTAAACCCCGAGCCCCAAACCCCAAACCCCAAACCCTAAATCCTAAAACCCAAACATCAACGCATACATGTCTTCAACGCCTCTATATATAAAGCGCTCTATAGCCCCCAACTCTGGGTCCTTGTTGGTGATATTTTTTCCCAACAAGGAATTGAAATGATCATGCCCAACAAGGAAGCATCACTTAAATGTAACCCCAACAAGGAGGCAGGACTTAAATAAAGCCGCAACAGGGAAGCAGAACCCTAAACCCTAAACCCTAAACCCTAAACCCTAAACCCTAAACCCTAAACCCTAAACCCTAAACCCTAAACCCTAAACCCTAAACCCTAAACCCTAAACCCTAAACCCTAAACCCTAAACCCTAAACCCTAAACCCTAAACCTAACCCTAAACCCTAAACCCTAAACCCTAAACCCTAAACCCTAAACCCTAAACCCTAAACCCTAAACCCTAAACCCTAAACCCTAAACCCTAAGGGGAACCCATGAAAACGCAGGCCTGGGATGCAGGCTTCTACCTCGCTCCCGCAGTCGCATCGTGCCCTGGCCTCCTTGAGGCTCCCGTGGCTCTTTTGGTGGGCTTGCAAGCCCTGGGAGCCTCCACCCCCACGAACCCTAAACCCTAAACCCTAAACCCTAAACCCTAAACCCTGAACCCTGAACCCTGAACCCTGAACCCTGAAGCCTGAACCCTGAACCCTGAACCCTGGACCCTGAACCCTGAACCCTAAACCTTGGGGTTTCTGTAAGAGTCACTTCCCGATGGGCCCAAAGGGTTAAAGGAAGGGTTTAGGGTTTAGGGTTTAGGGTTTAGGGTTTAGGGTTTAGGGTTTAGGGTTTAGGGTTTAGGGTTTAGGGTTTAGGCTTCCTTCCCAGCGAGTTGCAGCTGAGGTGCTGCCTGGTGACGTCGCTCATCTTAGAGTGGCCGACCATCATCGCCGACCAGCAGGCAACCGAAACCCGAACCCCTTAAACTGTCAGGGGTTTAGGGTTTAGGGTTTCGGGTTTAGGGTTTCGGGCTTGGGGGAGCCCGAGTCCCCAAAACCTGACTGTAAAACTTCCTGGCGAGCCAAGACGCTCTGACACCAATACCCCCCCTAAGCTATGAGTACCTTGCACACATGTATGCATCAAGATGTTACATATTTATATATATCTACATATACCTTACAACAGACCAAGTATGTATCTTTGTGGTGCGTTACTGTAACTTTAGATCCTTAGGTTTTTTGGTTTTATTGGGTTTCTTAATAAGGCAGCTTAAAGTTTAATGTTTTGCTACCCTCCTAAGTGCAGCCAAGATATGTATGAGCATCCCTGTTATAGCGTTTAAGGATCTCTACCTTTGGACATGGAGCAGGTCCATGGGCAGGAACACCTCTTCGCGCAGCCTGGCTCTTGCACCTTTAGCCACTGCTCCCCCAACAGCTTCTCGCCATGCCTTCGCTTTACCACTCTTCCGCCAGCGAGAACCGCAGCTCCATCGAGTCCGCCGGCCTCCGCCCGGCTCCAGGGCGCGTGGATGTGCCTGGTGGTGCCTGCTTGCATTTGTACTTGTGTAAGGTCCAACCGAAACCCTAAACCCGAAACCCGAAACCCTAAACCTTATGCAGGCACCATCATCCCACTCACGCTGTACAGCCCGCCGACCTTGAGGAAAGACTGTTGCAAGACTGCCCGTGCGTGGGAAATCGGCGGCAAGCTGCTAGTTTGGGCTGAGCCCTAAGCCCTAAACCCTAAACCCTAAACCCGAAACCCGAAACCCTAAACCCTAAACCCTAAACCCTAAACCCTAAACCCTCAACCCTCAACCCTCAACCCAACCCCAACAGGAGGGGCCCCTTACATCTGGGCCAAGGTTTAGGGTTGCTTCGGATTTCGGATTAAGAGATTTAGGGGGTTTAGGGGTTTTGGGCAGATTCTCCCTCCCAGCTGAGCCCGTGCGAGGTATGGCTGCTCTTCGACCAGGCCGGATCACAACCCGAAGCAGATCAGAACCTGACCCTATAAACCTCTAAATCGTAACCCCGAACCCCAAGCCTCGAGCCCCAAGCCCGAAGCCCCAAACGCCAAACCCTAGACGGGTTTTCGCCGACGTGGTTCAGGGCTTCGCAATTTGCTGTAGGGGTCAAGGGTTTGGCAGCTAAAAGGTGTGGTTTGCTTAAACCCTAAGCCTTAGGGGTCTCGGTAGAAGTTGGGGAGTCAGGTATCCGACGTCCCTTAACTCTGGGAGGCTTGCCACCCCCTCTTTTCGTGGTAGTGGTAGGGCAGTGTAGGGGCTTAGGGTCCTCCTCAACCTGACTTCTATGAGCCCGCGTTTGGAGCACACCTTGAACCGGTCAGGGTGTAGGGTTTCGGGTTTGGGGTTTAGGGTTCAGGGTTCAGGGTTCAGGGTTCAGGGTTCAGGGTTCAGGGTTCAGGGTACAGGGTTTAGCCCTAAACCCTGATACCCTAAGCCACGCGGCCAGTTGCCCCTGCTTATGGCCAGTGGTGCGATCGGAATCGCCAGGCGCTCAGGATGGAGGATGGCCCTAAACCCTAAAACCTAAACCCTAAACCCTAAACCCTAAACCCCAAACCCTAAACCCTAAACCCTCGTCACCCGCACGCCCCTTCAGTAAGTCCTAAGCCCCCCAAAGCGGCCGAAAAAGATGGTGTGGAAACTCGAAAACCCTAAACCCTAAAGCCCAGATCCCTAAACCCTAAAGTTCCTTGAGGTCGTCAACCTCTCGTCCTTGCTGGTGATCAAGTACACCTCGAGCACCTTCCTCAGAGGAGGGTTTAGGGTCAAGGGATCCAGGGTGACGGGTTTGATACCGCAGCCTACATAATGACCAACCTTGTCTCCTTGCAATTTTCTGGGTTGCGTATGGGTGGTTCTTTAAATGAGGGTTCCTTTTTTGGGCTGCTTGTTGCAAGCGTGTCGTACTACATGTAGGACCCCACAACGGGACCCTAGTTTAGAGAGCTGCCCATACGGCTTGTAAACTACTCCGGAATACCCTCCAGTTCGGCGCACTAGACCCTCAACCCTCCACCCAAACGCAAAACTCCAAGCCCTAAACCCCAACCCCCTCTCCAGCCTGAGGCCTTATGGCCAAACTCCTTGTCATCGTGCGCAGCAGCGCGCTCGTGCTGTTCTTCTTCGCGCTGGGAGAGGACTTCACTTGGGTGCAGGCTGGCCCATTTCTATCCTCTGGACAGCCCGCTGGCATCCTTCCGCCCTTTTTTGGGTTCTAATGTTCCTTCGTAAAAGTGATCCACGCCCTAAGCCCCAAACCCTAAATGACTAAACCGCCCACTATTATCCTGTCAAGGGCGGCTCTTGGCTTTTGGGCTATTAAGCTGTGTGGAGTTTGGGGCTTTAGAAATGCCTAACCGCAAGCCCGGAACCCTAGGCCCTGAACCCTGCTTCGTGTTTGGGGTTTGAGGGTACGTTCGACTCGAGGGTATTGGGGTGCAGGTCTCTTGTGGTTCCAACGGCTCAGAGTCAGAGAGAGCCTCCGAACCCTAACTCCCCAAGTCCTGAACGCCAAGCCCCAAACCCTCAACCCCCATTGAGCCCTAAACCCCAAGCCCTGAACATTTTTAAATTCCAACCCCCACCAAAACCTTTAGACCATCAAGCCCCTAATCTATAAACCGCAGACCCCAGACCCTGGGAACCCAAAAGCCGACTAGCCCTTAGTAGGGGCCGAAGCATACCTTGGTTTTATGGTGGTATGTAGGGTCTGGACACTCAGGTAAGCATCCATCGTTGAGGACCTTTTTTAAGAGTTGGTTTTAGAGGTCCAAATGCATAGGTCGTAAGGAACCCATCTAGGAAAGGGGTAAACCCTAAGCCAGTGAAAGGTTGCTGGTTACGTCTTCACAATCCTCGCCTTCTGTGGCTACTCCGTGGTGAAGGCCGGGGGAGGAGGGGGAACTTGGAGGTCCATGGTATCTAACAACCAAATCAACTGTTTTGATAGCCCGCTTTTTTCGGCCCCTCAATTACCCTACTATGGTTATAATTGGGTTATGAGTGCAATTACTCTTTTGGTTATGGCCCAATTGTGGTTTTCGACGCTCAAGGAAGCTCAAGAACGTTTAGTGCAGCACCTTAAGTTTTAAAGCCTTAAACCCGAAATGTAAACCCGAAACCCGAAACGCACGCCTTGACTTTGCCGAGTCGCGTGGGGTGCAGGGCCTGTGGTCCCATGGGGTGCTATTGAGGAGTAGGGTTGGGGTTGTGGGTCCTTTTTTGGTACTCTCGGCTCTATGAAAATATATACGATGACAGTGGCCCGACTCAGATTCGCAAATCCGTGGTAGACCGCCGTGTTGAGCACGGAGAAGGGAAAACCCCAAATTTTAAATCCTGCACCTACTTAGTTCAGGGTTGATATGAGGTCTAGGTCGTCCTTAGGTGAAAAGCCATGAAGGTCCCTGGAACCTTGTTTCGTTGTTGAAGTCCAAGAGCATGTTTGTTCGAAGGGTTCAGAAGTTTTGGGGCTTTAGGCCCTTGCAGGCTTTGGAGGTCTTGGCAGGATTGACGAGACCATGTAATATAGGCGTCGGAATAACTACTACTCGTATTCCCTGATGGTCCCTTCTTATTTACACTATAATATCCTCCAAAACCCTATGCCGATGTCCTACATGACATCCCCCCAGTTTCACGGATCCTGCTTGTCTGGGCTTGCTGCTGCTGCTGCCGGACAATGCGCTTGTTCTGCTATACTTGGAGGTTCCTGGGTACTTAGAACCCCAGTTACAACTACAACTGTACAAACAAAAACCTAAAGTCCCCTAAGTGGGTTAGAAGTACCCATGAACCTTCAAGTCAGCCCTAAGCCGTAAACCCAAAACCCCTCGGCTGTGCGAGTTTACAAGGGGTGATGCGTACCCAAGAACCTCCAAGTAGCCCGAAAAACCAAGCCGCACTGTCCGGAGGCTCACGACGCCGAGAAAGCAGAGGAGGACCCCGAAGCGCCCACATGCGGATTCTGGGGTGTTCGGAAGCTCCAAAAGGGCTTCGGGTTTAGAGTTCAGGGTTTAGGGTTTAGGTAAGATGGTTTCAGCTTAGGGGTTTAGCGTTTAGAGGTTCAGGGGTTTGGCCCTCCCCCCCCCCCTTCTGGACCCTATCACTTGATTATCGGCCTTAAGGGAGGAGGGTTTAAGGTGGGGGGTATGCTGCCCAAGATTCCCTAATATTCCCCACCTCCACGGCCCCCTAAGCTTCTTTTGAGGTTCTCGAGGTACCCACCCGCCATGAACCTCCTCCCTTAAGGACCCTATAGCATGCCATTCGAGGGTATAGGGTTAACGGTTTCGGTTGGGGTCGTCCTTCTTTTTGCGGCCCCCTGTTTGCAGGAATACGTCAGAATGGAATCCCTTATAGGCAAGGGGCCAAATGTATGGAAGAACCCGAAAATCATTTAAGAGCCCCAAACCCTAAACCGTAAACCGTAAACCCTAAACCCTAAACCGTAAACCCTAAACCCTAAACCCTAAACCCTAAACCCTAAACCCTAGACCCCTAACCCCTAACCCCTAACCCCTAAACCCTAAACCCTAAACCCTAAACCCTAAACCCGAAACCCGAAACCCTAAACCCTACCCCCTCAACCCTAACATCGAAACCCTACTTGGAGCCTCCAATCGCTCCCACAGGAGATCGTATCCAAGAGGCTGATCCTCATGGAGGCCGGGACACGGTATGAAGAGCGCGTGGCCGCTTAAGAACAATTTGAAGCCTTCTCTATTGAACTACTCAGAAAGCTCTGTTTGCAAACCATTTATTGGGAAGGCCTAAACCCCAAAAACCCAAAACCCAGAACCCTAAACTCTAAAACCTCAACCCAAGCCTCGAACAGTCAAGACGCAGGAGGGGGGCGCGCCCCCAGAGGAGGTGGCCCTTGTCGAGGCAGCACGCGCCCAAGGGCTCAGGGTTTTAGCGGCAATTCGGGGCTTAAGGGTTTTAAGGTTTTCGGGTGTCGGGTTGTTTGAGGGTTTTAGGTTTTTGAAGTTTAGGGTGGTGCTAGGGTTCCAGGTAGGTCGAATGGGTCATTTAGGAGGTTTTCTTGGCGGGCTATTCGCCCCGAAATCTAGGAACCCTGAAGCCTAAGCCCTAAACCTTTAAACCACCTTGAACAAAATTCCCCTGAACCCTAAACCCTCAACCTTAGAACCTAAGCCCCAAATCCGAAACCAAGCTTCCCCGAAAGGGCCCAGGGCTGCGCCGAAGCTGCGGTTGGCGGCCTCGATTTTTTTTGGGTTGAAGGCAGATAGCCCGGGGCTAAAGCCCTCCACATCCCATGTCCCGAAACAACTCGAAGATGCCGAAATCCTGAACCTCAAGACCTTCAGAACCCAAAATCCTGAACCCTAAAGCATTAAAACATGTCCATAAGACAGGCTTTCAGTTTGGTTAAGCCTCGCATTTTCAGGGACGGTTTCTTCCGTGACCCGCCGTTTTAAAGGCAAAAAACCCTACAACCCTCATCCCCTCACCCCCCCCCCGCCCCCCCAAATGTTAAGTGACTCTAACCCCTAGACCTGAAACCCTAAACCCTGAACCCTGAACCCTAAACCCTAAACCCTTAAGACCCCGAATGTTTCGGGGCGAGCTGCTTGCTTCTCCGCTGGCCGGGCCTTCGCTTACTTTGAGCCTTTGGGGATTTAGGGTTGAGGGTCGGCCCCTCTACTGCACCCAAAGGCAATAATCAAACCCGAAGACCCCAAACCCTGAACCCTAGACCCCAAACCCTGAACCCTAAGACTTACCTGTCACAGGGCCAGGGCGGTTGCTTCTCGTCGGAGGCCGCGGGTCTGTGGGGCGCAGGGTTTAGGGTTTAGGGTCCAGGGTCCAGGGTCTAGGGTGGTTCGGATAAGTAGTGTTGCTTGTCAAGTTGTAGCAGAGACGGGCAGTTCTCCCGCTTTTGGTATCCTTCGCACAAGGGCCAATGATAATAGGTACTCCCCAACAGCCCTTAAATTTCAGGAGCCCGACCGTGATTTCAAATATGCTACCAGTACTGGAATTAGGACGGACTGAAATCCTTCAGGGCATTTCCGGGAGATGGGCTGGCAGGATGTCCAGCAACGAACAGGAGAGACTAGGTGGTGTGTGGTGGAAAGCAGAGGTGGCATATAAGGGCCTCTGCCCTAAACCCGAAACCCTAAACCCTAAACCCGAAATCCTAAACCCTAAACCCTAAACCCTATACCCTAAACCCTATACCCTAAACCCTAAACCCTAAACCCTAAACCCTAAACCCTAAACCCGAAACCCGAAACCCTAAACCCTGAACCACGAGAGCCGTTCGAAAGACTCTGACCCCAAAGCCATCCCTGAGTCCCGTACATCCCGCGAAACGCACCCTAAACGGCCACAAAAGCAACCTTGAGCCTTGCAGGGTTAGGGTTTAGGGTTTAGGGTTTAGGGTTTAAGGTTTAGGGTTTAGGGTTTAGGGTTTAGGGTTTAGGGTTAAGCGTTTTAGGGTTTAGGGTTTAGGGTTTAGGGTTCTCAAAACCACTCCGCCCTCCTTCAAGCACTCGCAGCCCCAAGCCAGGAGCCAGCGAAGATGCGACAAGCGGGCAACTTCTCAGACTTGGCCTCTTGGTGGCCCAAGTGGTAATACAGGGTCAGAATAATTACTAACGCTTTTCCCTTATGGTCCCTTTAGAATTAGACTACAATAACCCCCCAGAACCCTATTAGGGTCCCTTTATGAATTAGACTCGAATAGCCCCCCCCAGAACCCTATCTCTAATTCTTAAGGCCCCTTTCCCCTGCTGTCCTTTTTTGGGGTTTCAAGGGTTCCCTTAGGAAAAAGAAGCCAACCCCAGAACAGGGATACCCTTCTTAGGCACATGGGCCCAGGATCCCTAAACCCTAAACCCTGAACCCTGAACCCTAAACCCTAAACCCTAAACCCTAAACCCTAAACCCTAAACCCTAAACCCTAAACCCTAAACCCTAAACCCTAAATAGCTTCCGGGGCCCATGGAAGGTTCAGGAATCTGGATAAGCCTAAGAACGCTCTTGAACTGTCTATTATTCGGGGTTTTGGGTCGTAGCGCGGTTGGGTGTGGGGTCTAGGCTTCAAGCTACTTAGGTTTCTTCCTCGGTGGGACGAGGGGAAGGAGCCTCCTCCCCCACCCCGCCCCACACCACACAAGACAGGGGATCTTGACTTATATCCCTAAAACCCTAAACCCGAAATCCTAAACCCCGAACCTCTAGATGCTCAGGATTTGACCTCGGGCATGTTCTGGTTCGCCTTCCTGATCGTCCTGGCCAGCGCGTACCAGGCTGGTGCTGCTTCTGTTGGTTTTTGGGAGGGTTTGGGTTTAGGGTTTCGGGTTTAGGGTTTAGGGTGTAGGGTTCAGGTTTTAGGGTTTGCCTTCTAAGTGTGCTTTTTGGGAGGTTTTGGGTTTAGGGCTAGCCAGCAGTAAGGATTGGTCTGGGACCGCGCGAAGTGGAATCTACCCCCACCCCACCCCCACACAAGTTGGAACGATTCGGATGTGAGGGGTGTAGGATGGCTTTCGTACAACTCCACCCTAAACCTTAAACCCTAAAACCCTAAAACCCTAAGACCCTAAACCCTAAACCCTAAACCCTAAACCCTAAACCCTAATCCCTAAACCCTAATCCCTAAACCCTAAACCCCAATCCCAAATTAAAGTTTGTTTGTTGAAGTTCTTGGCGTTCGGGCTTGGTGTTCGTAGTATGTGGGCTCTTCGTTCAGATTTTGGAGGACTTGGTGGTGGTCTTGTGGGTGTTAGTACTTAGAAGGTCACCGTAAACCCTAAACCCCAAACCCTACATAAACCCTAAACCTTAAACCCTAAACCCACCCGAAACCCTAAACCTCCCAAAAACCCACGCCCATCCACAGGCCGCCGTGCTTGGCGAGATTCAATTTCCCGTGCCTTGTGCGCCACTGAGCGCTGTGAGTGTGCCAGGAGCCATCATTCTCTTTGGACAGTACCCCTAAACCCTGAACCCTGAACGACAAAAGCCTAAACCCTAAACCCTAAACCCTAGACCCTAAGCAGTAAACCCTAAACCCTAAACCCTAACCCTAAACCCTAAACCCTAAACCCTAAACCCTAAACCCTAAACCCTAAACCCTAAACCCCAAACTCTAAACCCGTTAAACCCCAAACCCTAAACCCTAAACCTCACATCGGCCCCCCAAAATCCTTGAGCTGTTGCTCAGACCGAGCCTTTGTTGGCGTGGCGACGCCGGGACAAGCCGCATCCTCAGCGTTGTGGTTTAGGGTTTTAGGGTTAGGGTGTAGGGTTAGGCTGTATGGTTAGGGTTTAGGGTTTAGGGTTTAGGGTTTAGGGTTTAGGGTTTAGGGTTTAGGGTTTAGGGTTTAGGGTTTAGGGTTTAGGGTTTAGGGTTTAGGGTGTATGCCAGATGCCAACACATGTTCTTTTTGCTAAAGCAGCAGAAGCAGGCGGCCGTGTCATGTCTTTTCGCTCTAGACTCTGCCATCCGCGGTCTCCTACACCCGGAATATGGGGTTTAGGGTTTAGGGTTTACATTTTAGGGTACCTGGAGCACCCCTACCGGGGTCTTCGTTGTTTTGGGTTCACATCAATGTCAAGACCTCGCCACATGCTTTCCTTGGCTCTTCGCGCGCGCCGCAGGTCCCGCCTGCTCCATACATGCCGCTCACATCCCTCAACCAGGAGCGGCTGCAGTAGACTCCAGAAAGTTGGAACATGGTTTATGGATGGTTAGGGCTGCGATTCCCTTTAACGTAGCCCTTTTGGGGGTATGGGGATAAGGATGTTCCGACTTTTGGGGGAGGTTGGCGGTTGTACCCCTACAGGTTGTATTCCTTTAAGAGGATCTTTCGAAAGGGTCCCCAAACCCAAGGGTACCCACCTTAGGGCTCCAAGGTTGACTCCCATGAGTGGAGTCTACCTTCAAGCCCTGGGGCCCTGAAGCAATCTGAACATCCCCACAAAGCATCTAGTAGAAAGAACTGGTCTTGACCAGCTTGGGATTATGAGCCCTAACACCCACACCCCAAAACCCCTCAAAAAACCACTTACGCCCCAAACCCCAGCCCTTAAGCGGAAATCCTCAAACCCTTCCAGCCCTAAACCCTAAACCCTAAACCCTAAACCCTAAATCCTAAATCCTAAACCCTAAACCCTAAACCCTAAACCCTAAACCCTAAACCCTAAACCCTAAACCCTAAACCCTAAACCCTAAACCCTAACCCTACGCCCTACACCCTACACCCTAAATCCTAAACCCTAAACCCCAAATGCCAAAGAGCCCGAGCAGGAGAGCCCCGTGCGGCAGAAGCAAGCGCTACTGGCCTCCTCTGTAGAGTCCTCCGCCAAGGCACCCTGTTAGGGTCCTAGGGTCTAAGACTAGGGGTTAGGGTTTAGGTTTAGGGTTTGGGGTTTAGGGTTTAGAGTTTAGGGTTTAGGGTTAGGGTTTTTTGATGGCTCAGGCTGAATTATCGATTTCCCTACTTTTTTTGAAGAGGGTCGAAGTTTGGAATTTGAGAGCTGTGGGCTTCGGGGCGTATTCTTTTTTGCAGGTTTGAGAATGCGTGGTTTCGGAAGCTCATAGCCTCCCAAACCCTTCAAAAGGGGCCCTTCATCCTCACATCATGCTATAGATCAGATTTCATGTCCTTGTAGCATCCCTACAGATCGTCTCTTTATACCCCAAAGCCCCTGACGTGACCCCCTTTGGTCCCTTGGTCCCCTGAGAGGTCTTCAGGCCCTCTAACAAAGTACACTAGAAACCCGAATCCCCGCAGCAAATCCCCAACATCGTCCTCATGCAATCAAGGGGTTTCCGACAACAGGGCGCTACGTTTATTTGTTTTTTGTGTGTGCCTGGGGGTCCTGCAACAAGGATTCTAGACTCTGGTCTTTCGAGGGGTGTCTCGAAATACCCATCGCGCTTCGAAAGTCAGGGTTGTTTAGGGTTTAGGGTTCAGGGTCTAGATACCCAACATCTTCCCTGCACAATATGGGGTTCACGAAAATGAGGGGCCTCGAATATGGACACGAAAACATGGATCCGCGTATAGTAAGGACCCCAATACGGTACCCCCTAATTTCGGAATGTCAACCCTCAACTCTCAACCCTCAACCCTCAACCCTCAACCCTCAACCCTCAACCCTCAACCCTCAACCCTCAACCCTCAACCCTACACCCTACACCCTAAACCCTAAACCCTCTCTATCATATATACATATATATATATATATAAACCTTCGGGACTTTTCGGTCAATCTGCCCCCCATTGTTCGTGACTTTTCGGTCAATTGCCCCCCATTGTTCGTGACTTTTCGGTCAATTGCCCCCCATTGTTCGTGACTTTTCGGTCAATGTGGACCAGTGTTCGTGACTTTTCAGTCAATTTGACCCATTGTCGGTGACTTTTCGGTCAATTGCCCCCCATTGTTCGTGACTTTGTTCGTGACTTTTCGGTCAATCTGGACCAGTGTTGGTGACTTTTCGGTCAATCGCTCCCCATTGTTCGTGACTTTTCGGTCAGTGTGGACCAGTGTTCGTGACCCCATTGCTGGTGACTTTTCGGTCAATTGCCCCCCATTGTTCGCGACTTTGTTGGTGACTTTTCGGTCAATCTGGACCAGTGTTGGTGACTTTTCGGTCAATCGCCCCCCATTGTTCGTGACTTTTCGGTCAATGTGGACCAGTGTTCGTGACCCCATTGCTGGTGACTTTTCGGTCAATTGCCTCCCCATGGTTCGTGACTTTTCGGTCAATCTGGACCAGTGTTGGTGACTTTCGAGTCAATCTGACCCCAATGTTCGTGATTTTTCGGTCAATCTGGACCGGTGTTGGTGACTTTTCGGTCAATCTGGACCAGTGTATCTGGACCAGTGTTGGTGACTTTTCGGTCAACCTGACCCCATTGGGCCCCAGAAGGTTCAATGGAAAACGTGTCCGAATTGGGTAGGAAAAACTCTGTGGGTAGGATGGAAACCTTCTATTTTCTTAATGTTATGGGATTCTTTGGGCGGGCGGGTTTTTTTCTAAGCCTGGAACCCCCTAATGATTGTGAATGCCAGAACAGTGACCCTCTCGACCCTAAACCCTAAACCCTAAACCCTAAACCCTAAGCCCTACGTGCAAGCGCCAGGTGTTCTACCTCGAGGACGGGCGCTTCCTGGTTCGCCAGGGCTCGAGGGTGCCGCGCTGACAGAGGGCTTAGGGGTCAGGGTTTGGGGTTTAGGGTTTGGGGTTTAGGGTTTAGGGTTTGGGGTTTGGGGTTTAGGGTTTATGGTCTAGGGTTTGGGGTTTAGGGTTTGGGGGTTAGGGTTTCGGGTTTTGGGGGGTGGGAGGTGGGGGTTGGTGGATTAGGGTTTCTCCTATGGGTTGAGTTTCTGTTCGGAGCAGAAGGTTTCGGAGGTGTAATATTTTTGTGGTTGGCTTGGAAACCATGACAACGGAACGGAACCCTTGAGTTCCGCTGTGATCAGAAGCCAACACCAAGCATGAAATCAGTGTTATGGGTCAGGCTTGGCGTTAGCCCGTACTGTCGGCTCGCACTGCTGCGCCCGAACCACACGCAAGCCCCAAACCCGAAACCCGAAACCCTAAAGCCCAATCAATCCCTAGCCTAAATAAAGCCTGAGCCCTGAGCCCTGAGCCCTGAGCCCTGAGCCCTGAGCCCTTGAACCCAAGCCCTAAGCCCTAAACCCTAAACTCAGCTAGTGCCGAAACTGCACTCCGAGGCAACCCTAGAGCCCCTTCAACAACCTTTTGGACTGCCCTAGGCCCTATAAACCCTAGGGGTTGAGGGAAGAGGGTCTAGGGTTTAGTGTTTGGGGGCTCAGATTCGATGCCAAACCCCCACTTCCTAAACCCCAAACCCTCTGACCCTAAACCTCAAACCCCAAACCCCAAACCCTAAACCCTAAACCCCAAACCCTCCTTGGTTTCTGAAGAGGTGACCCTGGCGCGGCGGCACCCGGAGCACTACCTGTCCTCCTCCTGGCTGGTCTCCTCCAGCGAGCCCCTGGTCTCGACTCTGCGAAGGGCCTTGTAGAGCTTGGGTCCTTAATAGGGATTATACTAGCCCCTCTTATAATCCCTACGAAGGGCTGTTAGTATAAGGCCTTAATAGGGATGATACTAGCCCCTCTTATAATCCCTACGAAGGGCTGTTAGTATACAGTAAACTCCAGAAAAAAGCTGGAACATGGTTTAGGGATGATAGGAGCTGGGATTCCCTTTACTTAACCTTTTGGGGGTATAAGGATAAGGATGTTCCCAACTTTATTCCCTTTAGTGTAAGGGGGGAACATCCCAAACTCGGGTGGTTTAGGGGCCGGCTCTCGACTCCCTGTCAGGTTCGGTGCCGTCCAGCTGCGCGCCTACGACTCGGACGGAGACTTCCGCGCTTCCCTCGGACGGTTGGGCCTGCCTACCCGAAACCCTGAATACCCTTAAAACCCTTTAAACCCTTTATACCCTTTAAACTCCCTAAACCCGAAAAACCCTTCAAACCCTGAAGCCCCTTGAAACCTTTTCAAAACCTTTAAGCTCTTAAAAGCCTTGAAACCCTTTCAGCCCTTTAAACCCTTCGAAGCCCTGTAAGCCTTGCACCCTGCAGGGCGTAGAGTTCCAAATGTTATTTTCGCTTTACGCACCCAAGGACAGTTTGGCAGGGTGTAGCCAGAATCCTTGGTGCTGCATGCATACATACATACATACATACATAATACTTAGAGCAGGGTTGAGAGGGCCCTGAACCCCGAAACTCGCATCGCGCTCCGAGGCTGGCTTTCGTGCAACTTCCAGCTGACGTACGACCAACTGGAGGCGCAGCCGGCCCCCGCGGCTTCATCAACAAGCCCCCCCCCCGGAAAAAAAGAAATTCTACTCCCTACAGCGGCCCAAAAGAAACACTTGAAGCCTACACCCTATTTCGCGGCCTCCTGCCCTAAGCGCTTTGCATGGCCCTAGGCTTCTAGGCGTGACAGGGCTGACATCCTAACCTTTGTCATCGTTCAATGACATTTTACATTTTCAAGGGTACTTAAACCCAATAAGGAATATAGCATTTAAATTTTAACATGCTATCCCAACCATGAACTAGTCACCTTCGAGCCCTGCGTGTGGGGGTCCTTTTGCAATACGGAGCCTCAGATGAAGGGTACCCCGACAGCAGCAGGGAAGGGACCTTGAGCTGGTGCCCTAAACCCTAAACCCGAAACCGTAAACCCTTTATCATTTCAACCCGAAGTGAAGATATCCTAGAAACCCTAAACCCCACAGCCCTAAAGCACGAGAGACAGGCCTGCTCTTTCTGGATGGCAGCCTCCCACTTCGACCACTGGGAGACTGAGGAGGCTGCAGCGCTTGTGTGTGTGTGTGTGTGTGTGTGTGTGTTTTTTTTTTTTTTTTTGGGGGGGGGGGGGGGTAGGTTTAGGGTTTAGGGCTAGGGTTTAGGGTTTAAGGTTTCGGGTTGAAAGCTTAGGGTTTCGGGTTTCGGCAGGGGGGAGGGGGGCGGGGGCAGGGGCTGGGGGTTTTAGCATTTAGGGGCTCAAGGCCAGATGCCTGAAGTCAGGGCCCATGTACCGCAAGCAGACCATTAAAATTGGAGGTTGCCTCTCTCTCATCTACTGTTTGCTTAAGAACCCCCCCCACCAAAAAGCTATAATCCCTGTATTGCCCTTTTAAGGAAGATTCGAAGATTCATTTTTATGTTTTTTTTCGGGGGGGGTTCTTAAGCATTTCATGGGCCCCGCTGGCCTTCTACTGCAGTGTCGCCCTCAGGGTTTGCTACGGGTTTTTAAGGATTCAGCCCCCCGTGGGCTGTATTCCATGTATCTGGATCTTCTTGCAGATGCTTGGGGTGATGGTTGTTCCAACATTAGACTTGACTAAGCCTTTAAAGGCATAAACCCTCAACTTTAGTGCAGTGAACCCGGTTCTGGCAAGAATCCGCCCTGTAGCGGCAGGGATCAGACCTCGGCTGACGCAAAATGGCACAGGACGGCTCGAACGAGTTCATTCTCAGCGGACAGGGTGCCGGGCCCGAATCTGTTGCAAGTCAGACTTGTGCTTCTTGCAGTTGCTTGATCGGTACAAGCATCACGAAGACAGAACGAGATCCGTTTCTTTGGGGAGGGGGGTCTTTAACCGTCCATCAGCCCTCCGCATCTAACATGCGCGCCCAAGACCCTAAACTCTAAACCCTAAACCCCTAACCCTAAACCCTAAACCCCAAACCCCAAACCCCAAACCCCAAACCCTAAACCCCTAATCCCCTAAACCCCTAAACCCCTAAACCCCTAAACCCCTAAACCCCTAAACCCCTAAACCCTAAACCCCCAAAGACCCGACAGCCCCAGATCTGCCGAGGCCCTCGCTTTGGGAACCTCTCCGTGGCAGTCAGCGGGATGGGCATTGGCCCGAGCAGCCGCAGATTCGCGGGTTTTTTGGTGGGTTTAGGGTTTAGGGTTTAGGGTTTAGGGTTTAGGGTTTAGGGTTCAGGGTTCAGGGTTCAGGGTTTTGGGGGTTAGGGTTTAGGGTTTAGGATTGACTTCGGGTTTAGGGTTTTAGGGTTTCAGGGCTTTAGGGTTTTAGGGCTTTAGGGTTTTAGGGTTTTAGGGTTTTAGAGTTTTAGGGTTTTAGGGTTTTAGGGTTTTAGGGTTTTAGGGTTTTAGGGTTTTAGGGTTTTAGGGTTTTAGGGTTTTAGGGTTTTAAGGTTTTAGGGTTTTAGGGTTTTGGGGTATAGGGTTTGGGGGGGAGTTAGGGTCCTCCCCAAGAAATGGCAGAAGCAACTACGATCGCTACAACAATGTGATATAAGAGGCTTGAGCCCCAACACAGATCTGCTTGGAACCGGCACGTTTCCATTGGGTTTCCCTTGCAATCCCCAAACATGGTTGTCATACAAGCTGTCGACAAAAATGCCCATGTTCCCAAACCCTGAAAACTGAAAACTACATAAACCTAACAGAAAAGCACGCCGTGGATGCATGCGTTTTGTGGACTCATGAAAACTGAGATTTTTGTGGATGACATTAAGGCCGATAAGGGCAGAATCTGTACTGTGTTCTAACTATGTTTTTGAGGCCTTTCAAAGCTTAGAGACCCTGAGGCGCCGTAAATGATGTATGTAGTAGTCATATCTACATATAATCTAACCCTACGCGACTCCGCGAGATGTCAGGCCTTTCATGGAGCTCTCGGCCACAGCCCTTCCAGGTAGCGAACTGGGTTCCTGAGGCGGGGGAGACAGGAACCCTGAGTCCTCCAAGCTTGTGCTTTTTTGTTTCAGGGTGGTATGCGGTTTTTCGTTTTTTGGGGGTGCTCGTCTAGGCCTTACCGGAGATGCTCTGCAGAACCCTAAACCCTAAACCCTAGACCCTAGACCCTAAACCCTAAACCCTAAATCCTAAACCTAAACCCTAGACACCAAACCCCAAACCCCAAACCCCAAACCCCAAACCCCAAACCCCAAACCCCAAACCCCAAACCCCAAACCCCAAACCCCAAACCCTAAACCCTAAACCCCAAACCCCAAACCCCAAACCCCAAACGCCGCGCAGTCCTGCTCCCTCGATGGCATGCAGCCTGTTGCCGAGCCTTATGCCGCGGCCAAGCAGGAGGTGCAACCGGTGCAGCGCCGTTTGATGTAAAGGGTGTTTAGGGTTTAGGGTTTAGGGCTTAGGGTTTAGGGTTTAGGGTTTAGGGTTTACCTGGACCTCCCCAAAGAATGTTAACAAGAATAGCCCAGAACCCATAGAATCACCATTCTTTTGCGTGTTTTTTTTTTTTTTTTTTTTGGGGGGGGGGGGGGTTCGGTAGGCTTTGGGGCTAGGCGGCCAGGTTTTTTGACCCGTAAGGGCTGCCTGCAGCGCCCGTTGTGCTTCTTCGGTTTAGGGTTTAGGGTTTAGGGTTTAGGGTTTAGGGCGTCGTTTCTTGGTGAACGCATGGAAACTGGGACGAGGGGCAACGGGACTTGATGATTGCATAGGCTTGGGCGAAACCTTCCCAGGTCCCGCCGAAGCCTAAACCCTAAATCTGAAGCCCTAAACCCTAAACTCTAAACCCTAGACCCTAAACCCTCCTATGTGTCGCACGTGGGTTTGGGAAGGAACAAGGGAAGTAAGGAAGGAAGCCAGGAAGAGAGAGCGAGAGAGAGAGTCAGAGAGAGAGAAGAAAAGGATGCTGAACATCTTCCTCCATTAGCTTTATGTTGTCTACGCCCCGAAAACACTGGACCCGCTGAACCTGAATTCCTACAAAGCGAAGCTCGAAAACATTCCCAAAAACAGAAGCCCAAATCCCAAACCCAATGCCCTTATCCCCAAGGCTTTACCTCTCTACATCTTCATGCCCCGGATGCTTCAGCCCTAAGCCCTTAATCCTGTATGTGTCGGCCACCCAAAAATGTTGGGCCACGTCGGGCCAAGGTAGCTGCGGCCCCCTTTCCCAAATCCTACTCATGCTACCCTGAGCTCCCAAACCTAAACTCCCGAAAGCCCCGCAGGTGACGATCACCATGATCACGAACTTCACCAAGCAAGCCCGTAGCGGCATGTTCCGCCAGGTGCCAGGTTTGAGGGTTCAGGAGGTTTGGGTGTAGAGACCCCGCAGACGGCGGACAGACACACGCAAAGTGCAAGCAACCGTGCCTTGAGGGTTGCTGGATGTTTTCTCTGAACAAGGTCCGAATCCCTTAGTCGAAATCCCTAATCCTTGAGCCGCCAAAGCCCAAAAACCAAACCCCAAAATCAGCTCTAGGATTTCCATTCTCGGCCTTTGTAAACCCCATGCGTTGAACCCTGAAACAGTGAAAGCGTAGGCGCTGAGCTCCGTCTTTGAGCACCTCAAGGAGCACTCTTTTATGGGGTTGAGGGCTGAGGGCTTAGGGTTGGGGTTGAAAGCTGAGGGAGAGTTGGGGTTGAAAGTCGTGAAGTTTGGGTTGATTTACGGTTGAGGTTTCAGGGTCCCACGATATCCTACACACCGGGGGCGGGGGGGGGGGGGGGGGGGGGGGGGGGGGATTTTCATGGTTTTGTTTGGCTCAGACCTTCTTAAACCCGAAACCCACTTGCTTCTAGTTTTCGAATGACCGCCTACGGATGTGCCCATCAGAGAGATCGTCGCAGAATTTTAGAGACGCGTGCCCACTGAGCTAGTCATAGAATTGAGGGCATCGTTGGCTCGGCTCCCTTGCTGGCAACCTCCTTCTTGGCGGCCGCAATTTGTTCTGGGCCGTTGTGTAGATACCGATTGTAATAAAGCCCCTCGCAAAAGAACCTGTTCCACAAAACAAGTGTAGAACTTTCAGAAGCCCACTTGGGGCCCGGCCAGGACCGCCGGCTCTATGTCAAGGAGATCCTGGTGGTGGACGAGTGGTATGCCGGGAGGCAAGCTCTGAACTGTGGTGCTCGCACACTCAGTACCACTCCGTGACTTTTCACGTCCGTATTGTTCTACATGACAGTCCCTGCAGGTACCATTTAGTGCCCGGATTCTACGGGGGCCACCTAGGAAAGTTGCCAGGGCTGCTTGCGTTGCCGGCTCAGTGGTAGAACGATTGCTCCACACCTGCTGGCTGTCCTCCATGGCGCTCGGCTTCCCGCTTTCTTGGGCTGGCTTGGCTGCACTGTGCAGCCTGAGGTCTGCTGCAAGTCGCTCGGAGCCCGTCAGCGCGCCGAGCTTCAATTTGGAGGACTATGTCCGCTCAGGCAACCTCCATGAGGGACTGGAGAGTTGGATGGAGATCTTCCAAAGCTTCGGTCGAGGCGAGCGCATCGACCCCGAGAGGTTGCACAAGATGACGCAAACGGCCGGCAGTTTGGACGATGGTGCTGATGCTAGCGCCACACCGCTACCACGCTCAACCGAAGTTGATCAGGAATTGAAGAAGGAGCTGGGCAACCCAAGTGTCAGGGAGAGGGTGCAGGATTTCGCCTCGAATCCGGGGCTTCTCACGAAAGTGATCCAGGAGAATTCGTTGGTGCAACAGCTGGCCGCTGCGAACCCGGCGGCAGCTCAAGTCATCAACAGCCCCGAAGCGTTGCAGAAGATATTCAGCAAGGAGATTTTGGACGCGCTGCAGCAGGGCCAACAGCCAGATGGCGCCATGCTGCAGTCTATCCTGGGTGCGTTGCAGGCACATATGTAGAGCCTCAAGCAAGCCTCATTCCGATCTGAGGGCCAGGGTAACCGCGCTCCATGTGGTGCTGATGCTGTTCGTTAGCGACTCCGAATCTGTGCAGGATGCACAAGACACCCCGAATTTGCTGTGGGGATCCGGAAGACTGGTCCGCAGATGATTGTCGGGCTGGTTGTCGGCCCCTCAGCCTACGGCAATGTAGACGCCAATCCTCACTCAGCCGTGCCAAAAAGCGTTCCTGGTGCGTATCCGAGCTGATCGGTCATGCCGTCTGAGTGATCTCGCTATTTGCAGCCGCCTCCACGTTACTCGTGTCTGCAATCCCGTGATCGTGGTGTTTTGCCCGTGCTTCAGGATACATACCCCGTACCCTAAAGCTAGAAGCCCTAAAACTCAAACCCTAAATCCTGTACCAACCATGTACCCCAGAGCTAGCAAAGTAGGACTCCAGGGGCCCCTTGTCGCACCAAGTTTCTGCAGGCACATCTTAGGGATGCTTGTTAATAGTTTTTTACTTTCCGGGTACTATAATTCCCAAGAAAACAGCGAAAATTGTAACTATAATTCCCAAGAAAACAGCGAACATTTTTCACTATAATTCCTAAGAAAACAGCCAAAATGACACTTTTTGCTAGGGTTCCAGTTCCAAGATCAGTATAGACATGACCCAGTGGCAGGTCCCAGGCCCTGAACGGCACCCTGACCGGGCCAGGGCCTCAGCTGACGTGAGACAGGGCTTGCGTGACTGTTTCTGGCGAGTGTATGTAGGGGTTTAGGGTTTCGGGTTTAGGGTTTAGGGTTTAGGGATGTACGGATTTAGGGTTTGGGGTTTAGGTTGCGTTCCTTAGAAGTCTTGGTGAGTGTATATCTCCAACAGGGGAGCCGAACGGTGTAGGCGTTTACGCTTTTTTGGGGTTGCGGGGGTTCCCTTCTTGTAAAGCAACCAGCCCCCAAGAAAGGGGTGCCCCTTATTAATAAGATGGGTGCTGGGCTACCACGGTGCCCTGAATCTCAGGGACTTTCGGGTTGAAGGGGTTCTAAGGGTTGAAGCTTCTCAGGGGTTTCTCTGTGCAGGCCTGAAAATCTCCGAACACCCCAACTGCCCGCAGCCTCCGGAAAAGCCGCAGGCCTACCAGCAAGGAGGCCCGTGAGCAGATCTTGGGGTTCTTCCCCGGCTGTGCGGGCCTCATCAAGCCCACCGTGCGGCCGACTTGTGGGGGTGTAGGGATTAGGGTTAGGGTTTGGGTAAGTCGGGTTACCCTAAAGTCCTAAAGCCCAAAGCCTAAAGCTGAGGAAGCTTGTGGTCAAGAGCAGCGGAGTGCATCGCGCGCAGAGTGTACTGTGGGCTTGAGGTCCTGTAGGGTCCCATGCTCGCCCCCCCTCCCCCCGCATATGCAACCCCCTAAACCCGAGACCCTATATAAACCCTAAACCCGAAACCCTTAGCCCTAGGACATTTTGGTCCAGAGTTGGGGCCACACAAAGCAAAACATCACAAGCCACCCCAAAGTGACAAACCTGGCGCCCCTTTTCGGGCGCCGAATGTATTTACTATTTGCCCGCATGATAACAAGGGGTTTAGGGTGGGGAGAGTTAAAGCCCCCCCCCCCCCAAGGCCCTCAAAATTGACACCTGTGGCACTTGAGGCGAGGGCTTCGACACGGCCGGAGCCGAAAACTCGGGGGAAACGAGTCCGATAGGGCTGTGACTTTGGGAATGTCGAGTTCGGGTCCCAAGCGTTTAGGGTTTTAGGGTTTTAGGGTTTTAGGGTTTTAGGGTTTTAGGGTTTTAGGGTTTTAGGGTTTTAGGGTTTTAGGGTTTTAGGGTTTTAGGGTTTTAGGGTTTTAGGGTTTTAGGGTTTTAGGGTTTTAGGGTTTTAGGGTTTTAGGGTTTTAGAGTTTTAGGGTTTCACGGTTTCGGGAGTTCAGGAGTGCGGTTCTTGGTTTAGAGCTTCAGGGCACAGGGGGTGTTGATGGGGCTTGAGCGTAAGGGCGGGCGGCAGGACTGAATGCAGCTGGAGCTGGCCAGAGCTTTTCCTCGCCCTAGTCCCTAATCCCTGTAAACCCTATAAGCCCTATAAACCCTATAAAAAGCCTATACGAACCCTGTGAAACCCTGCAAACTGTATGAAGCCCATAGAACCCTGCAAACCCACAAACCCTCTAAACCGTGTACAGCCTATTAGCCCTACAAACCCTGCAAAATCCCTATAAGCCCTGTAAACTCTATGCCAACCCTACAACCCTGTAAACCGTGTGAAGCCTATAATTACAAACCCTACAGCACACAAGCGCTATGAACCCGATGCCGACCCGATACACCCTATACTATAAACCGTATGAAGCCTAACACCCTACAAACAACCTGTGGACCACAACTCCGCGGCTTAGGGTGTAGGGTTTATGGTTAGGGTTTAGGGTTTAGGGGTTCAGGGTGTAAGCTTCAGGGGTGACGAGGGTTAAGGGTTAAGAGTGTTTAGGGTTTGGGGTTGAGGGGCGGTGCCTGAACCCTACAAGCCCTGTATCAGCCCCATATCAGCCACCAAAAACTCTAAACCCTAAACCCTAAACCCTGCACCCTAAACCCTAAACCCTAATCTCTTAGATCCCCACCCTAAGGCCGCCCAGAGAGCTTCCCGGTGCTCCTTCGTCTTCAAGGAGCCGGAGGAGAGTGGTCAGGCTCCGGGGCAGAGGGCCTTTACGGTTTAGGGTTTAGGGTTTAGGGTTTAGGCCAGCGATTGATTGTGGCTTGGTGATAGCGTGTTTAGGGTTTAGGGTTTAGGGGCATAGGGCCTAGGGCTTGCGGGGCGCTGAATGGGGCTTACAGGGATTGTAGGGGTTGGGCTTATGGGGCTGACGGGGCGGCTTGTACTCGTAGATCTCGTAGGATCTTGTAGGGATTGTAGGGATGATGGGGCTCACAGGGATGAGAGGGCTTTATATTGATAGCGATTGCCGGGCATACTGTGATTGTAGAGCTTGCTAGGCGTTGGGGGTTTACATGAAAGGTGCCCTACTACCGAGCAACGCCCTTCTTGAAGCATTCAAGTTTGCGCTCCCTAACTTAACCCTAAACCCTTCATCATCATCATCATCATCATCATCATCATCATCATCATCATCATCATCATCATCATCATCATCATCATCATCATCATCATCATCATCATCATCATCATCATCATCATCATCATCATCATCATCATATATATATATATATATATACACTATATGAACCCATACCCTACAAACCTAAACCCCGAAACCCTAAACCCCTTGAAGCCCGGCCTCGTTCTTCTGCTGCAGGCGAGATCTCTGAACATCCTCACGCAGCTGATGGCCGTGCGCTTACCAGTGTTTTTCCCTTGAATTTGGGGATTAGGGTGTAGGGTTTAGGGTTTGGGGTTTGGAGTTTGAGTTTAGGGTTCAGGGTTTAGGGTTTGGGGTTTAGGGTTTGGGGTTTGGGGTTTAGGGGGTTTATACGTTTAGGCGCCTAGGAAGACAAGTCGATGTTTGGCGCAACGCGGCCGCGGGGCTCTTGCCAAGGAGACAGAGTTCTGGCTGCACCTCGACGACAGCTCCCTGTTCTACCAGGACTTCTACCTCTCCCGACTGCTCCAGCCCATCTACGAACAGAAGGACTTGGAGGGTTTAGGGTTGCGGGTTTTAGGGTTAGGGGTTGAGGGGTTTAGGGGTTGAGGGTTTTAGGGGTTGACGGGTTTAGGGTTCCGGCTGAAGGCCCGAGCTGTTTTGTGCCGGTTTGTGGTAGCCGCAGCCCTTTGCAATTTAGGACACGTTCTTCAGAGCTCCCCCCAAAAGTTGACATGGGCAGTTCTCTAAGTTGGGGTGCCTTACTGGCGTCCTCTATACAGTACGCCGTCCCTGAAAAAAGGACCCCAAAAGGGACCCTAATTGAGAGAACGGCCCATATATGCCTTGAGAGGCTACGTGGCCGGCAGGCTGAACCCTAAACGCGAAACCCTAAACCTTAAACCCTAAACCCTAAACCCTAAACCCTATACCCTATACCCTATACCCTGAACCCTAAACCCTAAACCCTAAACCCTAAACCCTAAACGGGTTAGGGGCTCTTCTTGAAAACTGAGCTCCAGCCCTAAGTCCACAGACCAAGAGCATCCCAAAGTTGACCAGCCCAAACCCGAATGCCTCTTATTTAGGGTACCCAAAAAAGGTTTAGTGCTTAGGGTGTTTTGGTTTAGGGTTTCGGGTTTCGGGTTTCGGGTTTCGGGTTTCGGGTTTGGGGTTTAGGGTTTAGGGTTTAGGGCCTATGCAAGTTAGAATAGAAACAGACAGAACCTTCGGGGGCCAACTGGGGCGAAGGAGCGCTGTGACGCGGCCTACGCCTTGGCCGGGGCCATAAAAGTTGGGGCCAAGTGCCGTGCGGGGTTTGGGGTTTGGGGTTTGGGGTTTGGGGTTTGCGGTTTGGGGTTTGGGGTTTGGGGTTTAATGTTTAGGGTTTAGGGTTCTACAGGGGATCCTACCCTAACTATGCCTTAGGCTTCGGAGCTTCATATTTTCGGGACCGATGCCCCTACCCAAAAACAAGCCTAAGCAACCCTGAATTCATGGGGGTTTCTGAAATTAGGGGGTGCCTGATTGGGTCCTTCTTATAAGGGAATCCTACTATTTGTGGGTTTATTGTAGGCATCCCTTGTTTTCGCGTGAAGGTTGGGCCGATAACGTATGTAGGTTGTGGGCTCTTGTATATAGATATAAATATAAAGAACATGTATATATATATATATATATATATATATATACATGCACATATACATATGTGAGGAGTCCTGACTCAATTACTGTCACTCAATGGCTGTTTCTTTAGCCGAGGCCCACCCAACGACCAGCACCACAACAACAACTGAGAGTACCACAGCACCGACACTCTTCCCTTTCCTGGCACCACCACCTCTTTCACCGACGCTGCCACCGTTGTCGCCCGCGCTGGGCGCGCCGCTCCCCACAATGCCACTTGGCGAGCTCAGTTCGAGGGGTCGTGGTTTCGCTGCACACCTTGAAGCCTCCCTAAAGCCTAAGGCCTAAAGCCTAAACCCTAAACCCTAAACCTTAAACCCTTAGGCCATACCCTTAAAACCCTCAAAACCCGTTAAACAGCCAAAGCGAACTCAAAAAACTTCAGGCCGGCTCCTCCTTCGCTCTTCGTATACCCCGAGGTTGGGTGCCGGGCTGTGGATTAGGGGCTAGGGGCTAGAAATCATATAGGGCTTTTCGGCTTACAGGTTTATAGGGCGTATGGGGCCTTTAGGTTTGCAGGGCTTATAGGCTTAGACGGTTGACAGGCTGAAAGGAGGTTTTAGAGTGGTATCCCCTGAACCCTAAACCTTGCGGTGCCCCACATCCCGCACCGCAGCTAGTGTAAGCACCTAGCCCCGCCCCTTCCCTGAGCTGCGATGAGAAGTGTGGCTTCTTACTATGAGTTGGTACTTATGCATTTTCGGGCCGTAAGGGAGGGAAGACTTCATGAAGGGCTGATGGGGACAAACCTCTATAAACCCCTATAAACCCTATGAACCCATGTAAAACCCTCTAAACCCCAAAGCCCCTGAACCCCTATAAACCCTAGAAACCCCAACGCCCCAAACCAGAAATCCCAAATCTCACAACCCTAAACCCTAAACCCTAAACCCCAAACCCTAACCCCAAACCCTAACCCCAAAATCCTAAACCCTGAGCCCTGAACCCTAAACCCCTCCAGTGGAATGTCTCCCCTACGTTCCTCGCAGAAGAAGCGGCGCCTCGACGAGGAGTCAAGTTCCGAAACTTGCCAGGCCAGACACTTGGGTCTAGGTCCCCAGAGCAGGGGCCCTTATTCCCAATATATATTTGGGGTTTAGGGGTTTAGGGGTTGAGGGGTTGAGGGGTTTAGGGGTTTAGGGGTTTAGGGCTTAGGGTTGAGGGCTTAGGGTCTACTAAGGGGTATAAGGAGCGACCCTTCTACCCTTTATTTTGGGGTTTAGGGTTTAAGGGTTTGGGGGTCTGCTGGGGGGTAGAAGGGGGGACCCTACATATGGTTGCGCCCCGGCGGGCTCCCCCCCCCCCCCTCCCCCGCCTCCCCCCCCTCCCCCCCTCCTGTACAGTGGTTGTGGGTTGGTTTTAGGGTTTAGGGTTTTAGGGTTTAGGGTTTAGGTTTTTAGGGTTTAGGGTTTTTAGGGTTTAGGGTTTTTAGGGTGTTTAGGGTTTTTAGGGTTTAGGGTTCAGGGGTTTAGGGGTTTCGGGTTTTAGGGTTTAGGGTGTAGGGTTCGTTTAGGGGAGACCGTAGACCATGGGGAGGGGGGGGGGGGGTGTACCTAGGGGCGGGGGGGGCCAGAACGCACAGCGCACAACCATATATGCCTCATATAGTCCCTATATACTTAAGTAGTCAAGTAGCCCCTAAGGTCTAGGCACCCAGAGTTTACTTGAAGGTTCCTGGTACTTTTTAACCAATTAGGGTTTAGGGTTTAGGGTTTAGGGTCTACTTGGAGGTTTATGGTACTTATTGACCAATCATAGCTGTACTTATAACCCACTTATAAGCCCCTTAAGTGCCCTAATATAGTTATATGAACAGCTATAAGTAGAGTTATAATAAGTTAAGGAGTACCATGAACCTCCAAGTAGGTCCGAGAGCAGGGGGCTCTTATTCCCTTTATTTGGGGTTTAGGGTTTAGGGTTTAGGGTTTAGGGTTTAGGGCTTAGGGTCTAGGGTCTAGGGTTTAGGGTTTAGGGTTTAGGTGCTGAGAGGTCAGGGGCCATGGGGGTTTAATCAGGGGTTTATGGTTCAGGGGTTTGAGGACTCAGGGCTTAGGGATTTCAAGTGTGTGACTGGAGCCCCGACGCCATGTAGAGGAAACATGGGGCGGGGAACCCCCGCACCTTTCAGGGTAGCCCCCAAAAGGGGCCCTTTGTTACAGGGAACTTACGGAGTTTTCTAGCATCCCAGTGTTAGGGTTCAGGGTTCAGGGTTCAGGGTTTAGGGTTTAGGGTTTAGGGTTAATGTTTAGGTTTAGGATCGTCAACTGGGAGGGAGTCCCTGCGCCCTAAATCCCCCGAAGCCTCAAACATTGCTGCGGCCCCTCGTTTATCACTTAAAGCTCCCTAAAACCCCCTAAGTCCTGCAGCCTAAACCCTTAGCAAAAGGCAGTCGCTGGAGTTTCCCTTACTCTCCGCGCTGCCGACGACACCTCCGAGCGCACGGAGCCTAGTGGAGAGGCTGCGCTGCGAGACATGAGTCAACATGAAAACGGTTTAGTATTTAGGGCTTAAGGGTTGAGTATCTCAAAGATTTAGCGCTGCAGGGGTTTTACTGCTTGGCAGGGTATTTAGGGTTTTTTAGGTACTTGGAGGCTCATGAGGGTACCCGGATGAGGGTTTGCCATGCCTCCCACTGACCTACAGTCTCCTGCAGTGGACCCAAGGTGTTAGGGTTTAGGGTTTAGGGTTTAGTTTAGGGTCTAGGGTTTAGGGTTTAGGGCTTTGGGATATCAGGGGTTAGGGTTTTGGGGCTTGGGGCTTGGGGTTCCGGTTCAAGGGATAGGGATGGTTTGGGGGTGGTGACGGGTTCGTCCGGACAGATCTGAGTGATTCCGGGTAGTGTTCGACTGCAGAAGCCCTAAGCCCTCGGCCTGTACTTCTAGTTGCGTCAGAGCCTCCCCGAAAAAATGCTCTTCCTTACAAGGGTAATAACGGGTTTCAGGATTGCCATCTTTCATATCTTGGGGGTTCCTAAGCAACGAGTAGTGCAAGTCCTGGGCTGCTGCATCCGTCAGAGAAGTCCTGTTCACACCGGGCTTTCTGCAGCCGGGGAGAAGAGAGAGCGAGAGACAGTGAGAGAGCGAGAGAGAGAGACACACACACACACACACACACGCACACACTCTCACAACAAAAAGCAATAGTATATGTATACATATATATATATGTATATATGTATACATATATATATATATGTACTCACACACACACAAGCGCACATGAAGGGTATGTGTGTGGAACTATAGCTATGCATGTATTTTTGTAGATACACACCCTAGCACATATATATATATATATATATATTATATTATATATATATATATTATACATATAGTGTGTCATGATAGAAGCTAGAATACATTGCATCGTAGTACATTTTGCACCATCCATGCTGGCAACAGCCCCAGCGCTGCGTTCTTCATGGAACTGCGGGCTGCGACGGCTGCGCTGCAGCGCGGCGTGGACGAGGCTTCGCCGGGATGTTTCGAGGTTTAGGGTTTAGGGTTTAGGGATTAGGGAGGGTTTGGGGATTGGGGTTTCAGGCGTGTTTTGGCGGGGGGGACAAAGGGTCTACCAGGACAGGCTATTATACCCTATAACCCCTTATAAAGGCCTGGATATTACAGAGCCTAATGCCTTCAGGATTTGGGGACGAGTTTGGGAGGACGTACCCTTAGGAAAAAGAGATTGCACAGCAGCGGCCAGAGAGCTGCCAGACAGTGAACAAATTCAACACGCCTGCCCAGACCCTGGTAGGATCCACAAAGTAGATCCAATCCAGGGTTCCTAAGAATGACCCCATAGTAGTCTAGGCTACTATTTGGGTACATTTTGGATCCTCCCAGGGGTCTGGGTAACAAGGGGATCCTAGTCTTTGGGGGTCTATAGTAGGGGTCCCTTGTTATCATACGCCCCAATATACCCTAAACCCTAAACCCTAACCCCTAAACCCTAAACCCTTAACCCTAAACTCTAAACCCTAAACCCTGAACCCTAACAATATACCCAGGGACTGCACTATGGCGCGCAGCTGGCCGTGGTCTTCCGTGGGCAGGCGGTGACGGTGTGCGTCGGCGAGGCGCGCCCTCCCCTCTGCCTCATACTCTGAGCCTGTGAGCTCCGACCCTCTCATGAGTTTAGGGTTTAGGGTTTAGGGTTTAGGGTTTAGGGCTGCTCAATTGCACCATGACGGTGCAGGAACAGCGTAGGCGTGCGCCCCCGAAGTTCTTTGCTGCCCCCCTCCGTCCGCAGAGGCGGCCCAGGGCCGGGCGCTGGCGGAGGGCGCGGTGCTGTGCTGGAGCTCCTCCGTGAAGCCGCTGATGGCCATCGCCCTCGGGCTGCTCCAGGACTGTGGGGTTTGGGGGTTGGGCTCTTTCGAGTTTTTAGGGTTGTGGGCTTAGGGTTTAGTGTTTAGGAACCTCAATTAAGGGTGTAGTGGTTGACCAATCATGGGATCCTGTTCATGCCCAAGGCTCTACACGTAACATCTTTCTGCCTCCGGTTGCTTTAGAAACTCCTCCCCCAACAACCACGCCCATGTCGTTTAGGCCACCCCCCCCATGTAGGTTTGGGGGTGCAGTGTTCAGAGTTTAGGGCTTAATTTGGGCTAACTTTTCCGCAGGGCTTCGTTTTATTGTGGGCCAAGCTGAGCTACAAGGAATTTCTGATGGTCCTAAACCTTGAGCCCAGGAACCTAGAACCCTAAACCTTGAACGAGCTCAACCGAAACGCCTGGAAACGTGCACCGGGACGATTGCTTTCAAGCACCACAGACCTATGGGGTCCTTAAAATGTCTTTTCGCAGGCCCAATCGCGGGCCCGCGTTCTCTCGCTCCAGGAGCGAGGACATCTGAGTTTCGAGGATCTTGTCTCCAGGCACCTGCCCGACTTCGGGAAGGAGGGGTGCAGGGTTTTGGGGGCTTTGGGGTTCGGGGGTGTAAGTTTTTTAAGGGTTTCCAGGTAGCAGCGGGATTTCGTCAAGGGTTGAAGGTTCAGAGGGCTCGAGCTCTGAAGGCCTAAGCACCAACCTCCTAAGACCTAAGCCCTCGCCCCTACAGCCTTTAAATACCCTGATCCCTACATCCGTTCGTGAAGGGATTGTGCTGAGGGGATTTTAACCTCAACCCTGCACCAGCTAGTGAAAAGGTGCTCAGGGTTTTTCTACCAGTAGTACCGAGGCCCTATAAATGTAAACCCTATGAACCCCAAACACCCTGTAAACCCCACAAAGCCCTGGAAACCCGACAACCCCTGCGAATCCTCTCCAGCCCTCCAAACGCTCCAACCCTCAACCCCACAGAGGTGCGGCCGGGTACCTTATTGGGGGGTCTTTCTAGGCAATCCCCCTTTTTGGGAGACTAGAGTAAAGGTCTCTTATTTACGTGAGCCCCCATGTGTTTTGGAGCCAGCCCAAGACCCCCAGGAGGGCAAGGGGGATGTCACGCTCCGCGACTCGGCAGCATGGCAGTGTTAAAGGGTACAAGGAGGGACCCCTAGAAGGGACCCGTAATCTTGTTCCCCTACGTAACACCTACAGACACCTTGTACAGTCCCTATATACCTAAGTAGCCTAAAGGAGCCCGAAGAGCCCTAAGCCCCAGACATTCCTGAACCCCAAACACCCCTAAACCCTAAACCTCTGGTGACCCCTGGTATCCCCCACAATTTCAAGATCTCCTAAGCCCAAAACCCCCTAAACCCTAAACCGGATTTGTAGGATCGAAGCCCCCTGAACCCCCTAAACCCCAAACCGGATTTGTAGGATCGAAACCCCCTAAACCCTAAACCGGATTTGTAGGATCGAAGCCCCCTGAACCCCAAACCGGATTTGTAGGATCGAAACCCCCTAAACCCCAAACCGGATTTGTAGGATCGAAACCCCCTAAACCCCAAACCGGTTTTGTAGGATCGAAGCCCCCTAAACCCCAAACTGATCCTGTAGGATCCCTGTCCCAGGCCACTGCCTCACCCACATGGCCGGGCTCTTTGCTTCCACCATGTCTGGCCAGCCGCGGCTGCCCGAGGATGCTCCGCCGGACGAGGTGGGGCTGAGGCCCTTGCCGGGGCCGTGTAGGGTTTAGGGTTTTAGGGTTTAGGGTTTAGGGTTTAGGGCTTAGGGTTTAGGGTTTAGGGTTTAGGGTTTAGGGTTAGGATCCTATGTTGACCCAGTAGCCCCCTACCCGGAGTACTGGCACACAGTGTTGCTGTGCAATTCCCTGAGCCCCTTAATACTAAGCCCTACTGGAGGTTCATGAGCACTTAAAACTCCAGTTATAACCTACTTAGGGGACTTAGGGGCTTCTAAGTGCAGTTATAATTGGGGTTGTAAGTACCCTAAACCCTAAACCCTAAACCCTAAACCCTAAACCCTAAACCCTAAACCCTAAAACCTAAACCCTAAACCCTAAACCCTAAGCCCTAAACCCTAAACCCTAAACCCTAAACCCTAAACCCTAAACCCTAAACCCTAAACCCTAAACCCTAAACCCTCCAAGTAACCTAACGCACCATGTGCAAGCCAGCCGGCAGGTGCTTCGGCACATCTGCAGCCAGCCCCTGGCCGAGGGTTGGGAGCTCGGCCGTCGCTGCGCCTATGACGGCCCGGCCTGGTACGCCACCTTGGAGCAGAAGCATAGGGTTTAGGGTTTGGGGTTTAGGGTTTATAGGGATTATAGGGTTTATAGGGATTATAGGGTTTAGGGTTGGGATGTAGGGTTTATAGGGATTGTAGGGATTATAGGGTTTATAGGGTTTATAGGGTTTATAGGGTTTATAGGGTTTATGGGGTTTATGGGGTTTATGGGGTTTATCGGGCCTATTATAGGGTTTATAGGGTTTATAGGGTTCATGGGGTTTGTAGGGTTTGTTTATAGGGTTTATAGGATTTATAGGGTTTATAGGGTTTGGGGTTAGGGGTTTGGTTGGGGTTTAGGGTATGTGAGGCTTATGTTTGTAACGCAGACGGCCTTCTCAGGGGACCCCATTTTTCAAGAACCCTCCATGCCATTGGGGGCTGATCCATCAAGAGCTTTGTTTGGTAACTAAACGGGTCAATGAACCCCCAAACCGAAACCATAAATTCTAAAGGACCATGAGTTTGGTCGGCTTCAAATTTGCTCGTGCGGGTGTTGGCGAGTTGAGTGCTTAAGGTATTCAACTCTGTTTGTGAGTTGAGTGTGCCAGGTTCTGTCTGGTGTCGTTACAGCTGCAGATCCCGCGCATCGCGCCTACGAGAAGTTTGTGGAAGACGAGATTTTCACACCTCTGGGCATGACCAGCTGCTCCATAGGCAGCGGAGTGGTAGGGGGCTTGGGGTTTCTTCAGTTTAGAAGTAAGTTTAGGGATCAGTTCCGTCTGTCTTTGATGAACTGATCAGAAGCCACAATGGCAACCTTTCGACACCAAATTCTTGGGGGCTCATCGAGTGTGAGTGTAGGA